TTCATGAATAAATTTTGTATATTCATTTATTCAATTTGTTGAGAGTCAATGATTTCAATTTTATTCTTGGCCGACTTGGCTTTTCCGTAGAATAAGAAAATAACAATATTTTCTGTTAAGAGTTGGGAGGCCATGGTAGAGGGGTTAGTCTTAGTTTAAGTGATATTATTCAGTTTACTTCGAGAGCGCGTTGAATAAAAAGCTATACAATCTGGAAGCTAGTTGTTCGGGAACCGTGAAGCGTCCAAAACTGTCAGCATTAAATGTAAATGAAAAAGCAAGAAAAAACAAGATAGGAAGGTGATGTTGATAGAAAAATCAGATATTGTACAATGTGGAACAAACTATTTGAGAGAAATAAAGAAAGGCAGAACACTGAGTAATTCTATTTTTTATTTGGATGAAACATGGGTCAATAAGGGCCATACCGTCTTGAAGGTTTGGCCAGACCAGAATATCAAAAGTGAAAGACAAGTCTTCATGGAAGGTTGGTCCAAGATCGTCGTCTGATCATAACTCACACAGGCAGCAGTGAGGGATTCGTGAAAGATGGATTGATGCTGTTTGAATCGAAGAAAAATAGGGATTATAATCAAGAAATAGATGCCACAGTATTCAGAGAATGGTTCAAAACATACTTGTTAAACTTCCGCAGGATTCCGTAGTGCTAATAGATAACGCAAGTTACCCCAGTAGATGAGTCAAGAAGCTGCCAACATCGTGTTGGAAGAATTCAGATATTACTGAGTGGTTACAAATGGAAACTATTCTTTTCAAATCAACCATGTTGAAAGCGGAGCTCCTCAACGTTGCTAAACGTCATAAGTCAAGATTCGTCAGGTATGTTACTGATGAAATGGCGAAGACGAAAAATTCACTGTGAATTGAATCCAATGTAGTTGGTTTGAGCTCAAGTTGAATGATTCATCACAAGAATAACGACACCTTCAAACTGTGTGAAGTAAAGAAATGTCAATACAGTGCTCTGGAAACAGTCGAACAAGAATCTTGGACAATATGTATCCACAAAACTATCATATTCGAAGCAGAGATATGGAATATTGATGATCGTATTGACTTACACATCATGAGAAAAAATGATTCCAGTTGTCATCAATCCTGATGAAACTCATTCATCCAGTGAATAATCACTAAACGAATTCCTGTAGAATTTTTTCAGATCACAAATTATCGCAGTATCTTATTGGATGTAAGTATTCCCATTAAATCCATGAAATTATTTCTTAATCAACTATAAAATCCAGTAAATAATGTAAATCTTCATTTCCAAACCAACAAGATATTGTTTAACTACTTTTCACTAATTTTTGATATGGATTTTTATCAGGGATTGTTACCCTCCACACACACATATATTTGTTCAAAATGTGTTTTACTGTTAAACAGGTATCGTCCCCCTATGAACGATAAGCCTCAGAAGTAGAAACTTGTACAAGCAATGGACTGACAGGGTCTTACCTTTCAACGTGTGATTTCTAGCATTCTAGCTATATTGCTGGAAATCGCTATATATCGCTTGAAATATCGCTATGTATGGAAGAATTTCTAGGACGACCGGCGACAAGACCTGGGGAGTAGGCAGATTGAGGCCCCGAAGACAAGTCACAAAACCCTAAAATGTGTCTCTTAGTACAGCTGCACGTGTCTACTTTTTGAAAATGGCTTCAAAGTCGAAGTCGAAACGTCGGACAATGCAAAACTTCAAGCGCGGTTCAATCCGAAATTCAGATGTTCAAATTACTAACCTCGGAAACCTATTCTATTTATATACTTATCTGGTGACGTTTCAAAGACTTCATTCATCTTCATTACCTAACCTACGATCAATTTCATATTATCAGTGTCAATAATAATAACATCAAATTGATTCACATCGAAAGACGAAGTATAACTACAAATTATATATCTAACTATCCAGCCCCAAGCAACTTCTTTTTGTTTCCTCATCCAAACATTGTGCTCAGAAGACAGAGATTTTCGTGAAATGAAGAGGAAATCACCATCGTGAACAGTTATTTTGCAGAGAAAAACGCCGGGTGTTATTTGGATTACAGAGATGGAAAAGTGTGTAGAGTTAAAAAATCAAAAAATCTAAAATAATTCCTCATATCTTTGTTAGGTCGAAAACTTTTCAGAGCACCACCGTGTATGTACGGCAAAGAAGATCATCTCCGATGGATACCGAAAAAAATGTGATGAGCAACATTTGTTTGGTGAAAAGTGCTTCAAAAAAAATTGTAAATTGGGTATATCTAAGGAAATTTGTTAAGTAAGTTCTGCCTTGAAAAGGATCACTTATGTATGACAAATTTATCAATGAGGTCAAAATAACATGAATACGTTTCTGTGGCGACAACTAATTTTGAAGTACAAATTAATAGCAGGTTACTTGAAAAAATTCATTGGTAAGAAAATAATTATGAAAATCTATTTCGAGAATGCTGAACTTTCATATAAGTTATAGTGCCAGATAAATTGTAATTGCATTCTCTAATACCAGTCTGTAAAAAATTCCCAGATCGAAATAATATGTCTGTAAGTATCGTAATAAAATCCGAATATCAAATAATTGAGATTCTTTATTCCAGGAAGAACTGAGTAAAGATCAAATTGCATGTGAGTATTTCATCAAATGATCAGTTTCGATACCAAACTCTTGTGTTAATTTCAGTACTGAAGAATGCATTCGACACTTTCGATGTAGAAAAAAAAGGAAGTATCGGTACAGTCATGATTGGTACAATTTTGAGTATGCTTGGAATTCAAACAACGGATTCAATGTTGAAGGAGATCATAGATGAAGTAGACGAAGACGGTGAGATGATTACTTTTGGAAATAAATGGTCATCTGAGTTCGATTTTATTCATATAGGATCAGGCGAGTTAGAATTTGAAGAGTTCATCACTTTAGCTTCGAGGTTCATGGTTGAGGAAGACGCTGAAGCTATGCAACAAGAGTTGAAAGAAGCATTTCGTCTCTATGATAAAGAAGGTTAGTCTCGATAAAAGTTAGTGTTTATAAAGAAGTTATAAAACCATGACGCTGTCTTGAGTAAAACATTTCTGTATACGTTCAGCTCTTGCGGGCATTCAAGAAATTGAATAAAAACAAAATTCAATAAAAGTAGATACACATCTGAAACTCATGTACCCCTCGCCCCCCAAATAAAATCCGGAAAACAAAACCTCCAAAGTTCTCAGAGATTTAATAGTGCGCCCAAATNATATTTTCAATAGGTGGAGAGATTTAAGAAGGCGTTTTTGATCCATCTGTGAACCAACAACTATCTGTTCTTAATATTTCTTTCTCCCGCAGGATCCAGTCCTCTCTACTCGGGAATAGTACTTTATAAGGCAGTTCGTAGTTGACAGTTGGAGGCATAAAGTCAGAGGCAATGTGCACAAGTCTGTATGCAGTCCATCTAGCCTGAAAATGTGGAGAGGAGGTAGATCTAGAAGGATCTCCATGGCCGCTGACGGTGTGATACTGATGGTACCACTGATAGCCAGACAAGCCTGTCTCTGTATGCCAGAGAGCTTCGCTTGGGCCGTTTTCTGTAAAGTTTTCGGCCACCAAACAATTGCACCATACGTGATCATTGGTCTGACAATCATCATATAAATCCAATGGATTTGTTTGGACTTAAACCCCAAGTTTTACGACAAATCATCCATGTCCATAGAGACAGTCTGGCTTTGTGCAAAACTTTTTCCAAGTGAGCGTTCCAGGTGAGTCTTTTATCAAGGACAATGCCAAGATATTTCACCTCCGTTCCAAATGGAATGACCACACCGTTGAGGGAAAGTGGCGTTAGATCGCCCAATTTCCTTCTCTTGGTGAAGGGGATTGACACAGTTTTGCTGGGGTTGACAGACATCTGCTTCCTCAGGCACCAACTGTGAAAAACGTCCAACGCACTTTGGAGGATATTAAGACGGCTGTACTGATTTTCCTGATTTTTGATTTGTTGGATTTGTTAACGTCCAGCATAAAAGAACAACTATTAAAATGTTTGAAAAGTTGAGAAAAATTTTGAGGTCAAAAAATTACCAATATTCGATTTGTTGGGATATGACTGTTGAAATCTGTTATTCAGATTTTCCAATAATTCAATTCGTTGCTTGTTTTTATATTTTTTTGCTCACCATATAGTTGTTGATAAAGGAGACTGTCGAAAGTTATTTTAGAAAAGTCATTAAAATTTTGTTAGACTAAAAATACAGTTTTATTGGCGATTCCTGAAGGGAAAAATAACTAGAGTCTTAACAATGACAGTTGTCATGTTGCGCGCGAAGACAATTTCGGTTACAACATTTGAGTTTGTGTGAGCATTGAAAATTCATAATAGAAGCAATATCTACCATAGTGTCGAATCTTCCACAACGAAGACGCAATGCTATCAGACTATAGAACATTTCAAACCAATCTATAATAATTAAATCGAGTATCTATCAAATGTATTTCATACTGCTTTTTTTTGTATCGAGTTGACATAAAGTCTACTGCTGACCTGGCAACACTGTTAGCAACAGGGGCAACACTGGCCTGGCAACACTGCTAACAATGTTGCCACTGGCAACACTGGCCGTATT